ATAAGCCTTAAAATATTCTTTAAAAATCCACGCCTATTGGCCTTACAATAAGCCTTAAAATATTCTTTAAAAATCCACGCCTATTGGCCTTATAGTAAAATCCATTCTGTAGAGGTTATAATAAGCTTGGATTTTTAAATGATATTTCAATATTTTCCTACAATTTTAAGCACCACCCTCGTTCTAAAATGAAAACAAACACAATTTGGCAATCTGGAGGTGTTGTTATTTCTTTCGTTGAGTATATACTTCATTGTGATATAAAATTCTGGTACTTACTCTCTGTGTTGCTCCCATTATAGAAATATACTCATACCTCATGTCCTCCTTCTCCACAGTCTCTCTCTTCGAACGAAGTTCTTTACACACACGAACAAAAACACTCTCACTCTTTAGTAATGTGTGCTAAGTATTAGTGTTAGCTGCTAGTTAGTTAGTAGTGTAGTTTAGCTTAGTTAGTTTCGAATATGTGTTGGATGAGTGTTTATTATTTGCCTACTTTTAGGCTTCAAGTTGTTGCTTTTTGCTGCTTCTGCTGTTTCAGCTCCAGCCTTTTTGCCGCTGTGTGAGTGTGTGTGAATTTTTGTGATTTCTTTGTTGATTTATTCGCTAAGGCCTCTTACAAGAGGACGCATCATTAAAATAATTCGAATGCAAAAAAAACAGCTCACATAACGACGGCAACAAGAACAAAGTACTCACTCACAATCACAAGCTAAACTTAAGCTTTGAAACGATTGGAATATTATTCACTTACAATTAAAACGTTCAAGCAAGAGGTTCGTTGTTGCTTTTTAACGGCTTACATCAGAATATCGAGTCCCTTACCGAAGTGTTACAACAACAAGAAACTAAAAAATTTTATTTTGGAAAAGAAGATGAAAAGTATATTATTTGGGATATTTTGATATTGAAAAGTAACTGCGGAAATAGAACTGTAGACAAACATAAAAAATATAATCCGGAAGAAACGGAAAATTAAATGGAAACAAATTTGAAACTGAAGTGATAAATAAATAATACAGTTTTGAACTGAAATATTATCAGATAACCTTAAAAGAACATCTGACTGCTAAACAATTTTTGAAAAACTATTGTGTTAAAAGTAAAATAATTTAGTGACAAAAATGCAACCCCTCAAACGTTTTACCCAATGCGGCAGCCTCACCATGCTCTTTGGAGTTTTCATCATTTTATTTGGGGTCAGTTCAACAGCCTTAACTACATTTGGCAAATCCAGTAATGTTCCACCACCCACACCAGGACCCGTTGGTAAGTAGAACGCCTTTATTTGAAGTCGGATTAGTCGGCGTTGTACTAAAATGACTGGCATACATAAAAATAATAATTTGCTAATTCATTGTTAACCCTCGATGTGGAATTTTCTATAAAAAGAGTATGGAATCGAAATTAAGAAAATTTTCTAGAATAAGACTTCGAAATTTCGATTTATGATTACTAGAAAAGCAAAATAATGGATATAGAAATGTGTTTTTTTTTTCATTTTGGAATAAAATATATGGGAATATTTTTTCGTAAATTAATCTAGGAACTTACGCAATTCCGAAAATTATGCTGAAATTTGTTATTGGTGCTATGGAAAGAAACTTTTTTTCACTAAGAATTCGCAATATCAAATTACAGCCACTTCTGTAGGAAAATGGGGGGGAAAACGTTCAACCTATGTTGATCAATTCTGCAGAGATGCATATTCATGCTTCTGGAACTCTGAATGTCAAACTAAAGCCACGTCAAGACATTAATGCGGTCTATAACCTTAAAAGTACCGAAAATAGAGTTAGGGATTATGTCAAAATATATCGACCATTTTCTGCAGATATGTTTTTCCTCCCTTCAGAAACCCTCAATGTCAAATTACAGCCACTCCTGGGGGAAATTGGCGCTATATTCCTAAAAATATCAAAAATGGTGCTGGACCTACATAATTGCAAGTTGAAATTTAAGATATCCCGCTCTATCTGTTCACCAAAATCCAAATTGTACTAGAAGTGGTACCATTCTGTACTTTTCGTATCCATAATCCAAAAATTATCTCAATACAACGATATGACAGTAATTTCAGTTGCAACTTTCGAATTTCAGTTCCCCAAATGTCTAAATTATACCAAATTTAGTACTTTCCAAATTTAGTACTTTCCGATAATAATAATTAGTACCTTCGTATTTATAAGTTCGAATTTCCAAAACTACCTCAATCCTGTACTCTAAAGTAATTTTAATTTCAAATTACATTTTTCCATCTTTATCCGTTCACTCAAATTTAAATTGTACCAAATTTAGTACACATAATTACGAATTTTCAAAACTTTCTCAATCCTGCACCCCAACAGTAATTTTAATTTCAAATTTCAGGATCACAGCGCTATCCGTTCACACAAATACAAATTGTACCATATTTTGTACCATTTATCACTTTTCGTACCCAAAGATACGAATCAATTCTACTCTCCAACAGTAATTTTAATTCCAGAATATCAGCCCCATCCGTACACACAGAAACAAATTGTATCATAGTTAGTACAATATTGTAAAATTACGTCATTCCAACCTCAATCCTAAACTCCAACAGTCATTTTAATTCCCAATTTCAAGACTTCGGCTTTATCTGTACACCTAAATCCAATTGTACTAAATTTAGTACCATTTAGTACTTTTCGTACACTCTTTTTTAAAGTTACCTCAATTCTGTATTCCAATATGCTCAAGATTCCATCTCTATAGGCAGAGAGACATTTTTACGCTCTTTTACACACAAATTACTCTCAAAGAGAGCACGCGTGCGGGGCATTGCCTGATGCGACTGTAAAATTACACCGAGGAGCAGCGAGATTGGCTACAACATAACTACAGTTTGGGAATTCCCCATATTTTTCATTCCCGGGAAATCTGGAATTCAAAATGTTCATCCCGGGTTCCCGCGACTTTTTACAAGTTTTATAAATAACCGTAATAGTTCGTTTACATTTAACCGGATTTCGTTATCCCAATGGGTTTCAATTGTCAATTCCTTTGCATATATGTCAAATAAATCCTCATAAAGTAGGTTACTTACTTACTTAGCTGGCTTGTTACAGAACGGTTGTTCCAAAAGCCGAGCTTAAAAAAGATTTCCAAGCGCGTCGGTCTTGTGCGCAAGTCCACCAATTTGGAAGACCACGTTCCAAGATGTTGTTTTCTACTTGGTCTTTCCATCTAATTCGTGGCCTTCCCCTTCTACGGGAACCATCAGTAGGCTCATTTTTATATGGCTTTTGAGCTGGGGCATCTTCATTCATCCACACAACATGGCCTAGCCACCGTAGTCGCTGCAGCTCAATACGACTGACTATGTCGATGTCCGCGTATAAATTGTAGAGCTCGTGGTTCATTCGACGCCGATATTCACCGTCGACGCAGATCGGCCCGTAGATCTTTCGGAGAATTTTTCTCTCAAACACCCCAAGCGCTGCCTCATCTGCTTGCGCAAGTACCCATGCTTCTGATCCATATAATAGCACGGGTAGTATCAGCGTCTTGTAAAGTGTGAGTTTGGTCTGGCGAGAGGTGGCCTTGTAGCATCTGTTGGCCATCACAACCCTTCTCCGAATTTAAAAACTCATATCATTCGTTTTATTTATGGCGGTACCAAGGTATATAAAGTCTTTAACTACATCGAAGCTGTAGTTCTCAAGTTCCACAGTTGGTCCGAGTCTACTGGACGTCTTGCGCGTTGATACCATCAGCTTGGTCTTCTCGCCGTTTACTGCCAGACCCACTTTGGCAGACCCCTTTTAAAGTAGGTTAACCCGGTAAAAAATTCTAATGTACATGCCGTTTAAGGAAAGCAGTAATGTCGGAATGGGTCGATTATTTGGTACCCTTCACCACTACGGCTATATTAAACAGATGCATCCTAACAGACACCGCATTTTTGAAGGACCATTAACATGAAATTGTACTAAATTAAATTACGTGATATGTGTGTATATGTGAACCGACTTAACCCTACGATCAATATCCATGTATATTTGTACCTTTTGATACCCTCCACCATAGTATGGAGGGTTTTTATTTGTTTTTCCGTTTATAACTCAACGAAATAACCATTTCGAACCCTATAAAGTATATACATTCTTCATCAGCGTAAAATTCAATGAGGATTTAATATTTCAGTCTGTTGTAATCACTCTAGCCTCTAAACTTTGCCTGCAGATAGGTCAAGCTCGAACATGAGCTATATCGTTCCAAGTTTAGTCATAGCTCCCATATAAGGGCACCCCCATATCTGATCATCACAAAATTGTGTGTCAATCGGACAAACTTTGGGTCTTTAGTGCACAATTTACATAAAATCGGAGGAAATATATATAGAAGCTACATTAAATCCTAAGAAAATATATATGGGTGCTATATCTAAATCTGATATCAATCGGACACCCGTTGATTATTTGGATAAATATCTGATAAGCATGAGGAGTTTGGTGCACATGTACTTAAAATGGGACCAAAATATATGTAAAATATATATCGAAATCTAAACCGATTTCATCGAAACTTGTCCCTAATTTCATTAAGGTTTGTGCATATCGGCCACATTATGAATTATTGGCATCATTTAGTTCAAATCGGGAGAAAATATATATGGGAGCTCTATCGATTTCAACAAAACTACTACTAAAATTGTGCAGCAAGCGGCCTATATTTGTGTCAATTTTGTGTAAACTCGGACGAAAATATATATGTAGAAGCTATATCTAAATCTGATCTCGACGAGATTTGCCAGACATTAATTTATATTAACTACAGTTCATTGTACAAAATCGGCAAACTTTGGGTCTTTAGTGCACAATTTACATAAAATCGGAAGAATATATATATAGGAGCTATATCTAAATCTTAACCCATTTTCACGAAACTTAGCACACATAATTCTAAACTTTATTCAGTGCGCTATGCCAAATTTTGTGCAAATCGAATGAAGTATAGGGACTTTGGGCCACCATTTACATTAAATCGGACGAAAATATATATGGGAGCTATATCTAAATCTGGACCGATTTTCAGAAAACTTAACACAAACCATTTCAGACCTAATTCTATACACTATGCCAAATTTCGTGCAAATCGAAAGATATATAGGGACTTTGGTGCACAATTTACCTAGAATTAGGCGAAACTATATATGGGAGCTATATCTACATCTCAGCCGATTTTCACGAAACTTAGCACAGATAATTCTAGACTTAATTCAGTAGGCTATACCAAATTTCGTGTAAATCCAAAGATATATATGGACTTTGATGCACCATTTACATTAAATCGGACGAAAATATTTATGAGAGCTATATCTAAATCTGAAACGATTTCCTCAAATTTCAATAGGGTTCGTCCTTGGGCTAAATAAATGAGTTGTGCCAAATTTCATCCAAATCGGATTATAAATGCGACCTGTACTTTGTTTATAATTTAATATCAACAGACGGGCGGACAGTCGGACCGATGGACTGTGAAAGTGATTCTATGCATATTCTCAAAAGGAACCATGTGTCTATCTCGATTCATTTTGCCTGTAACAAACATATGCACAAAGAAGGGTGAAGGGTATACAAATTAATAATAAATTCTTAATAACAATATTTTTGAAACTAATCAAATCCAAACCTTTAAATATCTCCATAAAATTAACTTAAATTAATTTCAAAATAAACGTTTCATATATATTTGTTTTATTTTCCCACTACTATCGGTTTGCCCTACTCAAATACAAATATAAATGATGAAACTATTTGATTTCCTAAACAAACATTGTGTATCGAAGGTGTATCGAATATACATTGTGTGATATGTTGTATCGTATCCATACATGTCATATTTTTTTCAACTACTATTCTAGCAGAATAATAGACCGATAGATAAACTTTCTAACTGACTGACAGACAGCGATAATTGGCATTTGATTAGTTTGATGTGATAATTTGCAGTTTAGCCGAGTTTGTTGGGTGCACACCTTCAATTTATTTCACATTATCCAAAGTAAACCAATTAGTGGTCGATGGTGTGTGCGGTGCGGAGTGATATGGGCTGGGGTAATCAAGAATGTAAACAAAAAGATTAAAAAAGTCAAAGTAAATAATAAAATATTTTTCAGATATTTTTTTACATCAAAAATGTGGACATGTGTATTTGTATTTATGGGGTTGTGTTGTAGTTGTCAGAATGATAATCAACGCCCAGATGTAACGTCTGAAATCTTTACAAAAGTACGCACGAAC